CAAGGTCTAACTTAGGAGTTCAGCATTTGGAGGAGACATAAGAATAAGGGAAATTGGATCACCTGGATTAAACATTTGTCTTTTAGTGTTAGGTTAGTGTAAGTCATTTTCTTTTGCTCAAGTTGGCTTTCAATTTAACTTCTGTCTTCTCGCCGGCTAGGATTTGGGCTAGGATATGGATGGTTATAGACATTGGCCGCGACAATTGAAAGTGCCACATTTTGATTTTTTTAATGTTTGGCCCATCAATTTTTTCACTTTTTCCGGTGCGACTGAGAGATGGAGCAAAGTTCTTGGCTTGCTTTTGGTTTATTCCCCCCTGATGTTCCCCAGTTTCTATTTATTAGGGGGCAGAGGGATTGCAGTTCTCTGATTAAACTGGATGGGAGGTCTTTTGTTTTCTAGTGTGTTTATTTTGTAATTGTTATTGTGTCTAAATGCATGGGAGTGCGAACGCGGTCACTGATTGTAGAACAGGTGCATAGGAAATCATTTTTGGGCATTAATCCTGCAGGATATGAAGCTTCTCATGCAGTTAACCGCACAGGTGGCTAGAACTGCTATCTGTGCAGTGGCAGGAGACTGGATGAGGACTGAGGACCAGGTTGTCATGATTAGACTGTGGGTGGTCGGTGCCTGTGTCCAGAACACTAGTTTCCAGTGTTTCATTGTGTAGATAATTTTTTACATCATGAACATTGGGGATATATATTTTTAGATTCAACCCAGAAAGATTTTAAAGAATTTACAAAATACATATAAACGGGCATTAGGGCGGAACCACAGAACCATTAGATTGAATTACTGGTGGCATTGTGATGCACTGAATGGCGTGAGTGTTGAACTGTCGGAGGAGATGTTTTGGGTGAAAAAAAATGTACGGCACTGGGCGTGTTACGAGGTTATCAGCCCGCATTTGGTCAGTAAGACTGAGTCTCAGCTACCGGCGATAAAGCGATTCCAAGACAATCTGCCTTTGAAGCCTGCCCCTGATAACATCTCAATTTTTCCCAAGGCGAGGCTTATTTGTGCATTTGTACAATAAATATTGAAGAGTTAACAATAAACTGTTTATTACATTAGTTGTGTTTATGCTTAACTGTGTACCATATCATTCTGTTTTTAAGCCTTCGGCTCGTGGAGAAGGTTGGACGTGCGACCCCTGCTATCACACCTATTGAATAAACTTCATTTGTGCATTTGTACTATTGAAGAGTTAACAATTTTTAACATGTTGTGTTCTTAACAACCATTCTCCTATTACTTTCTAAATGTGTGTCAACCTTTCCTATTACGACACAACTAGGATGAAAGCAGTGATGGCATATACACTGAATCCATCAGAAAAAATTAGAAAAGGATATACAAATTTTTATATTTTAGAATAGTAATGTTCTACCCACCAACTCTATCACAACAATAATTGAATAGAATTTAATTTTAAAATTTATTACAACTACTTCTAAAATAATAAAAGATTTAATTAAAACAAAATGGAATAATAATAAGCTAAAACTTGAAGGAACCATTTACTCTATTACCTGTAATAATTGTCACAAGGATTAAATAGGGGAAACCTCAAATAATTTAAATAAAAGATTATATGAACACAAAAAAGGGATCTTTTACAAAACATACATTAAATGCATTAGTTGCTCACTATAATGAGTCTGATTATTATTTTTTTATTTAAAAAATGCTACTTTAATTAAAAGAGCAATTTACTGAGACTAAAGTGTATAGAAAGTGCTTTAATCACTAGATCACCAACAGTAAATTTGTTTCCAGGTTCTTAAAAAATTTCCCCTTTTTTGGCAGATCTTCTGTTATCATAATGTGCAATATTTAATAACAAAGTGATAAAAAAGTAATAAAGGAAAAGAAACTAAATGAAATGGGATAGACTCTATACCTAAAACATATTTAAAATAAAAATATTAAAATTAAAAGTTGAGTGTCTCCTCTCCTTTGTATGCATGTACAGACACATCAACGTAAACTTCACTTTAACCTGATGAGGTCCTAAAAGATGAAACATGCTACATGAAAAAGTTTTCTACTTTATCATCAATTTTCCTGAATATATATATATATATAAAAGTTGACACTGAGGTGAGCATTGTGTAGCAACAGTCTTTCATGCTTAAACACAATTTTCAGGCTATTCTGAAGATTTTATTCATCATGAAACACTGTCGATACTCAGTACTCACCTGAGTTTTGACTCTTATATTTACAAATGCTCTATTTCTGACATTGATCACTTATACCCATAAATATAACATGCATTAAAACTATATATATATATATATATATATATATATATATGTATGTATATATAAATAAAAAGAAAGAACAGTAAGATATATAATCCAGTGTTCTTATAGATATTTTTATTTTTACAAAATAGTGCTCAATGTAAATTTACTGAACATTGATATTATAAATTAACTGATTTAAAATATGTTTTTTTTTTGCTACACAGTTCTAACCATGTTTTAAAAATGGAAGCTAAAAGCCTCGAATTTAATTTTGTAATTAAATTAAAGACATTAGTTCCATTTCATCCTCAAGCAAATTTTGGTAGCTACAAATACCATATTTTAAATCAGTTAATTTATAATATCATATATATATATATATATATCGGCGGAAAATGTACGACAAATTGGAAAAAGTTTTCTTGTTAAGCATTTTGTCCTTTAGGAGTACATTCAGTCAAACAAAGGCCTAAAAAAGTATGTGAATGCACTGTTATAATTATTTTAAAATTTTAAATTTATCCATTGTTGCTATGGAATTTTGTGTAAAACAAACATTTCAATATAAGGGAGCTGACTGGAAATTTTTTAAATAATTATGACAGAGTGTGTGTTTCATGCTGATGTTTTTTAAAAATCAGCATCACAATGAAATGCAGATTTTACCACAGTTACAATAAGTCTTTGTAATTTACCCCTGGAGATAATGGCCCTTCCCTTGATGAATTTCATCTTTCATCAAGAAACTGGTTAGAAAACTGGAAAGGATCAGTATAAAAATAAATGGACATAATATGTTTTATATTATTCAATGAAACATGATTGAATGGAGATATGCATATATAAAAAAGAACGTATAAACATAAAAAATGTCTTATATATATATATATATATATATATATATATATATATATATACACAGACACACACAAATTAGCAGAATAACAAAATTTAATAATTGTAATAGAACCATACATGATAAAAACAAGAGGAAGAAGTAGCTAAAAAGGGAAAATTTACCTTAAGGGGTAATATTGAATGTTCAATTTCCTTTTCCCCTGCACTAATTTTATTATAGCTGATCCATATGCCGAGGTATCTGAAGTGTTTAGTATTTACTAATTCCACACCCTAAATTTTTATGATGGATTTAGAGTATAGTCCAGTGTCCCTGCTATTTACCTTGAGCTCCTTGATAAGATTCAAAGAAGAATCAGCAATATTATTGGTCCTGATCTGTCAGCTCAGCTTAAGTCACTTTCCCACCAACGTAATGTAGCTTTCCTGTGCCTGTTTTATAAATACTTTCATGGTAATTGTTCGGATGAGCTCATCACTATGGTACCTAGACTATTTGAATTTAAGTGCAGTATTAACCTGTCATTGAGATCTCATCAATTTACAGTTGAGCTGTAACCATAAATCCTATGTTAAGTTTCTTTTCTCGCACTTCTCGCATGTGGAACTTCCTTCTTGCTCCATGCTTTCTAGCAAATGAAAATTTAAATGCAATGTCAATCACTATCTATTGTCCTCCTGATTATTCTTTTCTCTTCCTGCTCATTATTTATGTTTCTGTTTCTAATTCTTCCACACCCAGTAACCCCCTTCTGTCTTAATGGCTTTATCACCTTGCATAGGGTAGTAAAAAGAAAAAAAATAGTGCCACCACTGCTTTCATTCCAATTCCAGAAAATAATGTCTTTTTTGGAACACTTGTTAGAGGATGTTGATTGTCAGTTCAAGTTCATTTTTTCACAACTATAAATGCCTATGTCATTGGTGTTTAAAACTTTAACCTGCCCCTTATCTTTTTACTTACTTTTGAGCAAGAATAGAGGTTTATTCCTTGTTTTCTGTTTAGAGTCTGTTTCCAGTTCGTTTTAAAGTCTTCTAATTCTCTTTTACTCCCAATAAACCCTTGCCTCTTAGTGGCATTATTGCCTTACTTGATGTGAAACAATTAAAAAAATAATCTATTTCATCATTTTAGATTTCATTTATGAAATTTACCCCACCTTATATTTTTAAACTCAAAAATGAACCTGATTTCATCATCTTGTTAATCTTAAACAACCAACTATATTTGACACAGAAGTTGACTATATTATGTTGTACATTGTTGCTTCTCCAATCTTTACAATAATTACTAAATATGGTTTGGTTCCTAGGTAAATACATTATATTTCTTGCACTAAAACCATTAATTTAGTTGAAAATAACATCATTTAGAGCATTTTAACCTTCAGAATTTGTTTATCTCAATAAATTTTTAATATTTATCAAGACAGCATGAAATGGCACTGAAGAGCAATGCCCTATATTAATAGTGATAACTCCTCTTCCCAGAAATTAAAACAGAAATTTTTATGCTTTAAAAATGTTTGCAGGTCAAATGTTTTGAATGTGTTTCTAATGCTTTAACCTTTAGCACTCTGTAGGTGACTATTTTTACCAAGCAAAATATTATTCCTGCCAATGCAAGTTGGATTTAAATCTCTTGGTTGTGTAGTCATATCCTTCTATGGCAACATTTAAAACAATCTTGACTGAAATTGAGAGCCAGGCGACTGCAATTTCAAATATATAGAACTAATATATAAAACGCTATATTTTGAGGGGATTCCATATATAATAAAAGGGGGAGTAATATTTATAAATGATGCAGAGTGCTAAATGTTAACCAGTTAACTTTTCTTTCTTTTTTTTTTTTTATTTGTTGTTTTTTTTTTTCTGCAGGCAACAACGCATTCTGAAGGTAGCAGCCTTACATCCTCTGCAAATACGGAAATTACTCAACTGTTTGTGAATTTTCCTTCTTTGAGTAATGATAAGGACTCTGACATTTCTCACCAGTTCACCAGTAAGCAAAATGAAAACAACAATGCTTTTTGCAGCAACCCTCATGCTCAGAATGAAATAATGAGTGACTATGTAGCAATTGATGAAATCATTACAAGTAGTGATGAAGGAAATGACAAAGTTTTAGAGAATGGAAACTGCATGAAGGATACACAACTTTCCAGTGGTTCTGATTATTCATTTTGTAGCAGCAATTCTAGCAATGTTACTGACCAGACAGCTGAGAAATTTATTCCAGGTAACACCCCAGTCAGTGAGTCGACTGAGACTGAAAACTTAGAAGAAAGTCCTATTGATGGTGATTATTTTCCTAACTATGTGAAAAACAGTTTAGAAGATGATGACAGTTGGTCAAAACTGAAGACTAATCCCTTTTATGACAAGGAAAATATATTAGAGGATCTCAGCCCAGTCCAAACTTCTTCAAAAAGCAATTTGCCGAAACCTGAAACAAACAAAGACTCTGCAATGAATCAAATACATAATGGTTTCTTTACAGAAAATGGTAGTTCCTTACCAAAGAAAGAGATGCCTTTAAAGTTTCCTGGAAATGACTTACTGTCTGATTCACCTTATGTAAAAATTGATGAAGACCAAAAATCAAAAGACTCTTTCAGATTAGATGAATTTTGGAAGCCACAAGCAACCAATGGCAAGAGCATTAGTGAGGGAACTGAATGTGAATTACAAGAATTAAACAGAAAAGAGGTTCCAATCTGATATAATTACATATACTGGGTACAATGGATAAATTGTCGTCTAAATTTTGCTAAAATGAAAATCAAACTGATATCTCATTTTAACAGATATATTTACCAAAATTACTCAAAAATAACTTGAAATACTAAAGAGTAAATTCATTTAATAAAATTGCCGTTTGCTTCAACCACAGCCTCCAGATGACTTTGGTATCTCCTGCAACTCACCTGGACAGTCTTCTTTTTTAAGTTGGTGAATGCTACCATAACCCTTACCTTCAGTTCATCTTTCATGTCACAAGGAGTTTTGTTGGTCTCGCTCAACTGCATCTCACATATAATCCAGGGGGTTGCAGTCTGAGGAGTTAGGTGGCCAGATGTAAAGTGCGATGTGGTCACAGAAATTGTCTGACAGTCATGATTGGGTTCTTCTGCTTGTGTGACATGGTGCAGAGTCTTGTTGCCAGACCTAGTTTTCCAGTAACTATTCTCTTGACTGAGGGCAGCACTACCTCCTCAAGGCACTTGATGTAGGTCTGTGTGTTGAATCTTTGGCCCTGTTAGAAAATGAATAGAAGTATAATGTCACCATCCCTATTGTTCACTCCAAACACTTTCATAATCACTATTAGATTCATTCAACTCTTTCTGAATTCTTTGCACTGTCCTCAGATTGACACCCAAACACTCTAAAATGTTTGTATTGGTGCTTCTGGCATGAATGCCAAGTAGTATAGAATGCTTTTTCAAATTTCTGGCAGAGTGAATTGTGTCATGGTACTCTTTTTCTCACAGACGGTGCCCAACTGACCCTACTATACTGTGTAGTCAACAAAGTCAAAAACAAACAATGTGCATGCGTAAAATTAGAATATAAAATGGAGACAATTTACCCATCGCACCCTCTATACACTAGAACCTAAAAGTTTGGGGCCACCATCTGGATTTCAAAAAATTGCCAAAAAATTGAAGGTTGTGTGCCATTTTTTTAAACTAATTTACTGGCTTACATCAGACTAGAGGGATTTTCTCTTTCTGAAGGGTTTTATCTTATATTCAATAATAATAAAAAAATTAACCCACTACTGCAAAAAGCTTATTTTAAAATTTTAGAATTTTTGGCCTAATCTGTCTAGCTGGCAGATTTTAAATTTTAAGTAAGCCCCTAATGCACTAATTTCAACATCCTAGCTTTGTAGGTTTTAAGTAAACCAAAGAAAGTATGAAAAATTTGCTAATTATTAAATCCAAAAGGCGTGCCACTAAACTTTTAGCATATATATATATATATATATATATATATATATATATATATATAATTTATTTAAGTAAATACTCTGTTTTTTTTTTTTTTTTTTATTAAATATTAATTACATTTACTGGCCTGAAAGTTCAAGAAAATTTGTAGAAAATATGCATTGTCCAACAGGAATTGAACCTAACAGGAATTGGTTTCATATAGGACATAGGTTCAATTCCTGTTGGAGAATGCATATTTTCTACAAATTTTCTCACTTTCAGGCCGGTAAATGTAATTAATACAGTTTAACTAAAAAAACAGAGCATTTACTTAAATAAATTGTATCTGTCTATATTTCCGAGATGAGGTATTATGTATACTATTTACATTGCTTGGACTATCATCCTCATCTTTGTTGCCAAATTTATCACAATGTTTTTGCCATTGTATGCTCCGGCCTTCTTCAGCTGGTTGCAATGTTGAACTGAACCCTTTATTTTGTTTGCTGGGGTAGACTGTTCTAGTTCCACATGCCATGTCTAATGAATGTCAGTTATCTTCTGTTAATTCCCCTCTCCAAGTTCTCCACCACCTTAACCAGGTATATGTAAGGACACATGGCACAGTGGATAAAAGCATTAGTGAGATCCAGTGACTGGACCCAGAAAGACGTTAGTTAGATCCAGTGACAGGACCCAAAGAGTGTGAGTTCAATACCAGGTTAAGGCAGTGGAGAACATGGAGAGGGGAATTAACAGGAGATAACTGACATTCATTAGACATGGCATGTGAAACTAGAACAGTCTAACCCAGCAAACGAAATAAAGGGTTCAGGTCGACATTCTAACTACCTGAAGAAGGCCAGAGCATACAACAGCTGAAATGTTGTGATAAGTATGACAACAAAGATGAGAATGATAGTCCAAGCAATGTAAATAGTGTAAATTGTATCTATTAAAATAACGTATAAACAGAAAAAAAAATATATATATATATGTGTTAGCTTGGACTAATTTCATTGTCTTTTTTGCTGTTGCACTTTTTTCTCGAAATGTTCCAACATTTATTCTTTCTCAGTGTCTGTTAGGTTGTGGAATATCAAATTTTGCACTGAGGGTACAAGCACCTTCTCCACCATGTGCATCTACATTTTGGGTGTTGTGTGCTTCTAACCTACTTACCAAGCTTGTGACTGCTGTCAAACTTGTCAGGCTTTGTCAGCTTCCCTCTGGAGCTTTAAATTTATAATCTATTAATGAAGTGTGATTAATAAATAGAGAATAACTCTGAAAAATAGAGCGACTTTAAGAATGAACTCAATAGGCCAAGCATAGAAATTAGAACCATATGGGATACTTAAGAAGGAAAAGATTGTTAGGTTTGAAACTGAAAACTTCTATCACTATACAATGCAACTGGTTGTCTAAAATGTTATATATTTTGGTTCAGTTGAAGCAATATTAGATATGAGGTTTTAGTTTTCCAAGTTAGTCAAATAAGATAAAAAAAAAAGTTAATTAAAAAGATCTAATTACTTGGTGTTATGAGTTCAAACCTTAGGTTGGATGTTACAAAAGGTGGTTCAGTTAAAACGGCAGACAAGTAATATTAATCATGAGTTTCCAAGTTTTCCACGAGCAAATTACCCTATCGGCATGTGGTTAAAAAACATTTTTTTCCATTTCATGGCATTACATTTTTAAACCCAGTGAGCTTTTCCAAAGAGAGCATGACTTAATTTGATTCCCTACAGACTTGTGCATATATAAATATAAATATAAAAATACGATATATAAAATATCCTTATATATCACTGTCTTTGATGGACATGTGTTTTCATGTGGATGTGTAGTTTATTTGTGGACAGTCATAATCATCAGGTGGATGAAAAAACAGGAAACTCGGTCCTAAATCCACTGTGTTTTGTAGATTTTATACACACACACACTAACACACATCACAGTTCAAAAGTTTGAGGTCACCCCTGGTATTTTTTTAAATTGGCCCCAAAAGTAGTTGTTTTGTTCTTTAAATAAGAGAAAATTATTATACATGATTTAAAAAAAAAACAAAAAAAAAAAGTGAAACATGATTTTTTTATTAAAAATTTTATTAAGAAAAAAGCATTTTATGATTAACTTTTGCTCTTGTCAAAATATCCACCTTTAGCCTTGATTACTGCAACACAAAGTTTTGGCGTTCATTGCAAAAGTTTCTCAAAGTATAAGTTTGATAATTGATTCTGTTCTTTTTTCAATGACTCCAAATGTTCTTTTCCATTTTTTTTTTTTTTTTTTTTTTTTTTTTCACTCTTCTGTCAAGTCCATCCCATGCTAATTCTTGGGGTGGCTTCAAACTTTTGAGCTGTAGTGTGTGTGTGTGTGTGTATATAATATACATATTCTTCCTCTTGGAATTTTTATTCAAAAAATATACATGTGTGGGTATTTATATATTTTGTATATGTATGTATATTTACCAATAATATATATATATATATATATATATATATATAATAAATATATAAACAATAATAAAGAGAAACAACAATAAGATGTATAATCCGTGTTCTTATTAATATTTTTATTTTGCAAAACAGTAGCACAATGCAAATCTATTCAGAAGAAAACAATTTACTTATTTAAAAATATGAGTTATATTTATATTTACATGTTTCAAAAACAGAAACTAAAAACTTCAATTATAGAATTAAAGTCCCTAGTTTTGTTTTATTTTCAGACAAACCTTGGAATAACATTTTGAAATTTACTGAGTTTTATAAGCACACACATTTATAATATTAGTTTCTATGGATACCCTACCACCCCTTGTTAAAATGATTGATTTTCCCCATATCCACTGATTATGAATGTTTGTGCTTATAAAACTCAGTAAATTTCAAAATAAGTTATTCCAAGATTTGCTTGAAAATGAAACAGAACTAGGGACTTTAATTTAATTCTATAATTGAATTTGAAGTTTTTAGCTTCTGTTTTTGAAACATGGTAATTCCTATGTAGTGATGGAATCATATTTTTAAATAAGTAAATTTATAATATATAT